TTTTCCACGAGTTTTCCAACACTCTCCTTCGATTATCGTGTGATTTCGTGAGTTTCCCATGAGTTTTTCACGATAGTTCAGGTTTTCATGAGTTTTCCAACACTTTTCATCAATTTTCGTAAGATATCACAACTATTCCCAGAGCTTTCCACGGATGTTCACGTTTCCATGACTGTTCACAATTTTTCATGAATTTCCATGAATTCTAATGAAAATTCCATTACATAATCCCCTTAAAAATTTACTCCCATTCAAACTACATCACACAAACTACAGCAGCTTCCATATACATAAACACGTACAGTACGTGTACAATGTAAACGACTCTTCCAACTTCAATTTTCACAAATTCCATCCTGCACCATTCAATTCTTCGTCGAAAACCCACCGAACGCACATACATGCTCCAAAAATTTCGTCAAAAGTACAAAATAACCCCAGATCCCCTACAAACCTTTCCAACCCACAACGACTAATCACCGGTCCTAAACTCCACGAAAAACCAGATCAAAAACTAGACCAGCCGTCGTTAACCTCAGCCCAGGCCCAAAAGCCAACGACAAAAGTCATCCTAATTCGTGTTCTTTCTCTCGGTTCTTCCAGCAAGGATGTCCAGCAGCGGCGTGACGAGCGGCCCGGTGAGCCAGGTGTGCCGGCCACACTTCCACAGTTCGGTGCTGCACCCGTGGTTATCGGGGAGCGGCGCGGACACCTCCAAGACACCATGGGGCTTCCCGGCGTCCACGGGTTCCGGTGGCGCGGTGAGCGACGACAAACCGCAGAGCCCTCTCGGTTCGTCGCTGCCCCCGAGCACAGGCAGCCTGTCGAGTCACGGTGGCGCCGGCGCCGGTCACCATCTCTTCTCTTTCCCGCCTACGCCGCCGAAGGACGCCACCCCGGACAGTATCACCGCCAGCACCACGTCCAGTACGAATAACAACAACAACAGCAGCGCCAGCAACAACAACAACAACACCAGCAATCCTCTGTCCGGTCTAGGAGGCGGTGCGAGCAGCGAGTACCAAGCGGCAGTGGCGCACGCCGCCGTGATGGGAGCCTTCATGCACCACCAGGACGCGCTCGGCGCGTCCGGCGCGAGTTCCTGCGACGTGAAGCCCAGCGTGATGCTAGGCCACCACCACGGGGCACCGTCGCCGCCCCATCAGCAGCACAACGGCACCACGAACCCCGGAAACGGCGGGAACAGCGGCGCCGGCGGCGGCGGCCAGGTGAAGCAGCGCGAAGGTAATAACCAATCGAGCAGCGTGTCCGGCAGCCAACAGGCGAGCACCGCGCAACAGCAACAACAGCAGCAACAGCAACAGCAAGAGGCGTATCAGGGGAGCAGCGTGGCTGCTGGAGGCGGCGGTGGCGGCGGTGGCGGCGGCGCCAGCTCGCCGTGCCGGGACAGTTACGCCGCCGCCGCTGCCGCCGCCGCCGCGGCAGCGGCCGCCGCTGCCTCGAACACCCACCATGCCACTTCCGGGTCCCAGTACGACCCGGCGACCAGCGCGTATAACATGTACCAGCACCTGCAGTATCCTAGTACCAACCACCACCACCACCATCACCATCATCACGGCGCCTCCTCGTCGTCTTCTTCGTCTTCGTCCCACAATCCGCACAACGGTAACGCCGCGGTGCCCGGTATATTCGGGCATCACGCTGGCAGCGGGCCCGGGAACGCGACCGGCGTGGCCGGCGTAAACGTCGATTCGAAGTTGTTGGTCGGTCACGCGCACGCAAACACGCCGAGCTCGCCGTCCGCGCAGCAGCAGCAGCAGCAAAAGCCCAGGAACAAGTCGAGGACGTCCGCCGGTAAGCGGCACGCCAACCGAAACTCTCCTTCTCTCCTTTGTTTATTTTTTACCCATTTTTGTTCGTTTCTTTCTTTCTTTCTTTCTTTCTTTTTTTTTTTTTTTTTTTTTTTTTTTTTAATACTTCTCCCTTTCACAACACCGCGGCCTCTTGGTTTTCCGTGGTTTTCGGTTTCTGTTGTTTGGTTGACGCGTTTGGTTGCGGTGGGGATTAACCTCTAGGCTTCGAGTGAACTCGAAATTCGGTAACTGAATTTTGGCAGTATTTTTTTCGTGCGGTTTCTTCCTCGGAGAATGTTTTCTTTGTGGAAAATGTTCGGAACAGACGAATTTCATATTTATTTGGAGCCTAGGGTTTTGCTTGGCATTGGTGCGGGGCCTGCCCTCGAGTGCCTAGGGAATTGTAGAGATTTTTTTTTTTTGAACGAACGCTTTCCGGAGAGCTGTTGTATTTTTGAATATTTATGTACGCCCGTTTTTAGTAAACGAAAAATGGGTTAATAACAAGGAATTTTTTAGTTGTAATGCCCGGTGTGTTCGTCAAGTTGAATTGAAATACAAGCGTTGGGTAAATATGGACGACAAGCTTTAGTTTGAAGAAACATGGAATTTTTAATGAATTTATTGTTGTTGCTTGGTCGATAGATGGCGCGAAGGTTGTCGTGAGAGCGTAGGAACAGTGGCGCTACTAGTTGACGTCTCCTGCGCATGGTACATGCGCAATGGACATGCGCAAGGTATATGCGCAATGGACATGCGCAAG